ATCGAGTTTTCTTATTCGATGATTAGAGAGACGTAGAAAAAGCCTCTGGAGATTCAAAGATGAAGAAGATGAGCTGAAAGGAGTGACGTAAGACTATCTTCGATTAGAGGAGGTGTTTGTTATAAATTTATAAATATAAATGTAGTAAAATGTAACACAACTATTAATATTTAATAGAAGCTTTATTACGTACCCCGTTTACATTTTAACAGCAACAACAAGAAGGACGAACAGAATACATGATCGGTAACTCTTACTACATACTACTAAGAAGCCTCTGGAGACTTGAAGACGAAAAACATGAGCTAAGAAAGTAACGTAGGACCATCGAATGTTTTAAAGATGAAGAAGTGACGTAGGACCATTGACGAAGAGGAGACAATAATGTCTTATTAACATGAGTAGTAGCATCGCCAGAAGAATCTAAGCTTATATCTTCGTTATTATTAATTTAATTCAAACTGGGAATACGGCATTTGGTGTAAAATGTCATTTAAATGTCATTAACTATCAAAAAAATACATACTTAGTAGGATTTTCAAAAGAACATTAACATGTTTTTCAAGGTTATGTTACAAAAGTATGGTAACCTCACATCTCATCTACTAGCAGTTGTTTAGATTAAAATTACTTTTTTTTAATCTTTAAAGATTTAATATAAACCTTACATACTTTCAACAACTAACAATTTTTAAGTAGGCATTCATGTAAATAAATGCATGTCTAGTACACTCTAGTACACGCATTTTAGTTATTCTACTCGTATATTTTAAATAATCCATGTGCTATTTGCTTCTCACCGGTAAAGTTTTGATGGTTTGGCGATTGTTATTTTCACAATGCATACAACTAAAGAAGATTAATTAAATTAATGCGATGTTAATGGGTTTGAAAAATAAAGTAATTTCAATGGATAAATATAAATCAGACAATAAAATCATTGTCTGTCTTTGTTTTGATTCCCCAATCATTTCACTAAAAACAATATTATTTCGATAAACATCAATGCACAGATTATTTGGTTTTCATTTGTTTTTTTTTTAAATGTAGCCGTTAAATCTAATGTTTGAATTCGGAATCTATTCAACGAGACCTACAAATTAGTATATTACACGCTATTAAACTAATTTAGAACTAATCGAGATATAGCGATAATAAAAATTTCTATTTTTTTCAAAAAACGTTCCCCTGTTCGTTGAATATCGACGCGATATGCATTTTGTGCAATCAGGGAACTAGTATGCCCATTTATAATGTTCGTGGAAAGTGAAATCACTGTTAATCTAATCTTAATTAAAGAGGCTCAATTTTTAAGTTTATTGTACACTGTTGAACAATTATTAAGTTTTTTTTTATGAGTATTTTCCTTGAATATACCAACCAAAATTAATATATTTATGTTAAAGCCAATATTAACATTTCTTGAAACAGTTAATATTATTAATAGACACTTCAAAATTTCAACAACCAATGCGTGATTTCTTAAATTTTTAGGAAGAAAAAAGTCTCCATCTAAATAAATCATAAATTAATTGTTTTTTAGGACAAAGAATAGGATTTTAGGTTCGAATTTTAGAAGAGCACCACGAAATGGTTTATAAAGTGGTATATACACCGTGTCCCACGTAAGGCGGGCATTACAACTTTATGGAGAATAAATTAATTTGTGTTTTTTGGCCATTTTCTGAGTATACATAATCGAATATGCTCTTTTGAATTAAAATAAAATGAACTCTGTGCAACTTCCGGTTATACCGGAAGTGACCACTAACTTCGTTATTTTAAAGGGAATACCCCATATTTTTTTTTAATTTTAGATTCAGCATGAAATTCTGTAAACAACGATACCCCATTTGCCTATTCTAGTTATAGCGGATTTGGCGTTATTCAATTTTTCTCTACATTTTTAGTCGCCGGTAGACATTTTCTTAAAGTCGTCTATCTCAGGTACTATATCTATCAGATACTTAAAATTTTAACCAGAGGTAGTAGATGGGATGTACTTCTTGAGAATATTTAGTTATTCAATATTTGTTGTACGGGGTGTTTGCAAATTATTTTTAAAAATGAAATTTTTTAAACATAAAAAACTTTTTTATTTTAAATTGAACACCCTATATATTTTTTAAATTTTAGATTCAGCATGAAATTCTGTAAACAATGATACCCCATTCGCCTATTCTAATTATAGTGTATTTGGCATTATTCAGTTTTTTATAAACTTTTATATGCCGGCAGACATTTGCTTTTTTAAATTTACTTGTACATCGTTTGTTCGACTGTGTGTTTGGAAATTATTTTAAAAAATAAATATTTTAAACATGAAAATTTTTTTTATTTTAAATGGAAAAACCTGTATATTTTTATTTCATTTTGTTCAGAAAGTTATTCTTCATTGATCTTTATTTGCACTATTAATTCCCTATAATTATCTCTCGCCAATTTTAAGAAAATTTAAATTTAAATTATACGCATGCACCTACATAATATAGTATAGTTTCACATTTTAATTTTTTATCTTATTATGCCGTGGAAATATGCTAAACAACAATCTGTCAACAAACTGAATTGTCATATTTCTATGTATTTAAGTTGTGTATTTTTTGCGTTCAAAATATGGATAATATGGAAAATATTGAAGAATATACCAACCAAGATATTCTTAATTTATTTTACATTCATGAAGAATGTAATCGAATCAAAAGTAGAACCTGCCGCATGTTTAATGAACGATACCCTCATTTACCACCAATGAACAGACAGAAATTTGATAGAATCGAAGCTAACTTTTTGAATAATTTTAAACAAAACCCGGGAAGAAACCGTCAACATTATGTCCGAGATGAAGAAGTTAATCTAATTAACGTATTAGGGTATTTTACTGCGTATCCTCACGCCTCCATTAGAATGGCTCAAGATAATTATAATATTAGTCGAGGGTCAATACAACGAATTTTAGCACTAAATAAATGGCATCCCTATGCACAAAGAAAAGTTCATGAGTTGCGAGATGGTGATCAAATAAGACGAACTGAATTATGCGAATGGTTATTGGTACGAATTCAAGAAGATCCCGAGATTTTAAACAAAATTTTGTGGTCAGACGAGTCGAAATTTACACGTAAAGGGATCATCAATCGCAAGCAATGTCATTTCTGGGCAAACGAAAATCCACATTTTTATCGTGAAGTACAATTTCAGTACGAATTTAGTTTTAATGTGTTTGCAGTGATCGGTTTTCGGAAGAGCTTTTTATTACATTTATAATGAAAGACTGACCTCAGAAAGATACATTAGAATTCTTAGAGAAGTAGTTGCCGACATTTTAAACCAGCTACCAAATAATAATTTTTGGTACCAGTTGGATGGTGCCCCAGCACATTCAAACATACTATGTAAATCAAGAAATTACAGCACTCTTTGAAGACCGATGGATATGTCCAAATGGTCCTTGGCTTTGGCCTGCAAGATCGCCAGATCTAACTCCTGTTGATTTTTTTTATGGGGTCATATTAAAAATTTAGTGTACTCTACCCAAATTAATACTAAAGAAGAATTAGAGCAAAGAGTTCGGAATGCCTTTAACGAGTTAGATGGTGAAATGATTCGTAAAGCAACAACTAATCATGTTGAAAAAAGATTGTTAAAATGTTTAGAAGCTAACGGGGGGCATTTTGAACATTTGATAAAATGATTTTTTTAAACCATGTGCTTTTAATAAAAATTGTTTTTAGTTAGTATGTACCTTATCATTAAAAAAAATTAAACTTTTTAAACGACATATTTTGTTGCAGAAAACTGTAAATGTTTTTAAAAGTACATCCCATCTACTACTTCTGGCTAAAATTTCAAGTATCCAACAGAAATAGTACCTGAGACAGTCGACTTTAAGAAAATGCCTACCGGCGCGACGACTAAAAATTAAAAAAAATGAATAACGCCAAATCCGCTATGACTAGAATAGGCAAATGGGGTATCGTTGTTTACAGAATTTCATGCTGAATCTAAAATTAAAAAAAAATATGGGGTATTCCCTTTAAAATAACGAAGTTAGTGGTCACTTCCGGTATAACCGGAAGTTGCACAGAGTTCATTTTATTTTAATTCAAAAGAGCATATTCGATTATGTATACTCAGAAAATGGCGAAAATACAAATTAATTTATTCTCCATAAAGTTGTAATGCCCGCCTTACGTGGGACACGGTGTATAAATAATCAAGTATATTATCTGTTCATAGGCATACGCAGACGTAGATGACTATTAATACAGGGTGTTTCTAAATTCATGCGACAAAATTCAGTAGGCGATTGCTCGTATGAAATTAAGATGGGTCTTTCCTATAACAAAATTTCCTTAGGCCACCCCTTTCCGAGATATCATCCTTAAAAGGTGGTGTCTAAAATTGAGTTTTTTTTCTTCTAAACTTTCAGTAAAGGGTATTTTGGCTAGAGGTGGCCATTTTCAGCATATATTATGAATCGTATAACATTTTACATCTTTACTGTTTTCCACTCAATTTATTAAAAAAATTATAAATTATGTTTATTTTTTTTTCTCTGCAGCTATTGGTTTTGGGACAAAAAATTTAGGAATAAAGAAAATTTTTAAATGAAACAAGGATTTCAAGTTATAATTTTATTTTATAAAACTTCATCTCGAAAAAAAGTTTTGATATGAAATAAAGTAAGGGTTGCCATTTTCACCCCTCTATAATGTAACAGGAATATTAAAAAAATACCCATGGTTAGTCCTTTACGAGTGCACGAAAATTAAAGAATTTCACGTTTCTAGCTTTACTGAATTTTTAGAAAAAAAAAATAAATACTCAATTTTAGTTACCACCTTTTAAGGGTGATATCTCGGAAAAGGGTGGGCTTAGGAAATTTTGTTATAGGAAAGACCCATCTTAATTTCATACGAGCAATCACCTCCTGAATTTTGTCGCATGAATTTAGAAACACCTTGTATAATTTCTATGATTACAAATTTAACACTTACTTGCTGGTTCGAACCCGGGTATGAAATCAGGACAAGACTGATTAGCTATTGATCCAGCAGGCGTTTCCGGCCAGCAGGACCATCCATCGAAATGAACTGGACATGTCAGAACTGAAATTAAAAAAAATAACACTATAAATTATTATAAATAAGGAGTTTTTAAGGATATGATAATGATTGTATCTTAGATGTGCTAATATTTTCTGGTTTAATTCCTCAGGGCCTTTTATAAAGAAACGTTTACATGAATATTTCAACAACGGTTTACATTTTTTGCTACAATGTTTTGAAAAACATTTTATACTGGGTGGAGACTGTGGCGACATTGTGATCACCACATAAACTTACCTTTAGATTTAACTTTAAGGTCATTTTTAGCAGAGCTTATTTCTGATTTTTAGTTCAAGATAGTTGAGGTATTATTATAGGGAGATGCGATCACGTGGTCAAAAATGGCATCAGTCCGCCATACTGATGCGACACTTACGTCAAATAGCTGTCGCATTGTTGATGGAACAGGGAACACAGCTTTGCAATGAAGGGTCACAAGCCGCAGGGTTTCATTTGAAAAAAAGCATGTTGAGGGTGGTTTCAGCTACCCCCGAAGAGGTATATTTTTCAAATTGTTTGCAAAATGTAAATATATCAAAACGTTGACGTGTCTCGGGAAATTTTAGAAAAATTATTCACCTTACCGCTAGCGAATTTATTCCAGTTAAGATCTCCACCCTGTATTTTAATTTCTCCGGAAGTAATTTAGACATGGTATGTGTTAATAGGATATAAAGTCACATATTTCAGTTAGAAAAATTATTCCATATTTCTACTAGTGGTGTCTCTGAAAACATATCCTTTGATAGTGGTAGATTTGTCTAATATAATACAAGAATTACTACATACATCGTGTATACGGGGAGACTGTAACCACATTTATAAGTTCACTTTGTATAACATATTATGTATCTCCAAGAAGTAATTACTTATACTATGAACAATATTTGTAGATTCAGTTTATATTTTCATTGAAGTAATAAGTACCTTAATACCCATTGAAGTACTCATACTAAAAAAAAGAATGTTATTTAAACATTAAAAATTATATTATTTATCGTATGATACCAAGTTTAATATCAAAGGAGTATGCTTGGTTTATTTGAACAATATTTTTCAAAAGAATTATTATATTGCCAATAAAAATGTTATTTGCTCTCTTTATTATGGCAATAAAACTGGAATTATGAAAACATTAGCAATGGTCGATATAGTTTAAAAATATAGTATGGAAAATTAAAATATCTTTTATTGAAAATTTTATAATGTTCAAATATAAAGATAATAAAGGGTATATCTATGTAAATCAAAACATGTATACAGTATATTAATTTACATTAAAAAAACGTCATTTTTATAGAATGTTACTTTAACTTTTAGATTCATAACATTACTGAATGTGTAAGTGATAACTAAAATTCGTGATAAATGTTACATATAATGTGAGGCTCTAAAGTCAGATGACTTTAGGGCCATGTATGACTTTGTGCTTCATTTCGCCTCATTAATCAACTATAAAAATTATTCAGGCATTATCCCTAACACATACATTCTCTTAAAGCTACAGACAGATTTTTTCAAATCTCATTGCTTTAATCACATCCTAATTAAGTTTAAACTTCTTGTAAAAGTTTCACTCCAATGGCACTAATGAGCTTTTGTCACCGATGCTTTTGCGAACCTTTTCATTATAGATGGAACGATTGTATAAAATTTATCCAATTAAAAATGTTCCTTATAAAAATTTTGATTGCTTTCTAAAGAAAAGTTTTGTTTTGATTCATACCAAAGACGTGAATCTATGTGAATATTATCCTAGTTATCCTAGTTATAAATAATACAATTAAATTAAATACAATATAATATTTGTTATGAATAGTTTTTTACCAATTTAATATGAAGAAATTAAAAGTTTTCCAAAATAGCAACAACTAGACTTGGTTATTGAGGGGAATATTCTGTAGAAATGAGATGTCGATTTACGGAAACACTTTGTATATTAAATTTATATTTTTAAGGACGTTGATAGGTTTTATTTAGATACCTTCTTCAGGACATATTTTTCTATAGAAATTAATTTCTAACAGTCTAAAGTAAACAACTAAAATTGAACGCCATTGAATTTTTAATTGTAAACTGATTCGGAACAGTTGCACAGGCGAACCAGATGTTCAGCACCAGAGTTTTCCATTTTATTTAAATGATAATAAAATTACGGTTTTTTGTTATTGTTTCCACGAGTGAATTGTGAATTGAGATAAATTTAAACCAGATCAGAGGATATCAATTACGAGGCACTTTTATTACAGACAATTTTACGAATACTGTCTTTTTAACGAAAAATAATGCGAGTAAATTTCGTGTATTACCCTCTATAAAAACCGAACAGTATTTAAAAATCTAATCCAAATTAAAGAAAAATCTCTAATTTAGGTCGTCTTACTATTGTAAATTGAATGTTTCTGGAATTTTTGTAATTTATCTAAAAAGTTGAAAATTTCAGTTATTCTATTTAATATATTTAAAAGAACAAACGACTTACCTACCGTGTCATCAGCAAAACTAAATACCCAACCCTGATGATTCATTAATAGTAAAAGGTTTATGACAACATATGTTTTATGTATGTTCAATCTAACAAAACATATATATCAACAACACGTTTTACATAATCATACCATTTAGTTGTTAGATTCACAGGATGATATTGAATTAGTGAATCATTGATCATACTTCAACAGAAAGTACTATTGGTAATATCGATTCTTACACCTTAGGATACCAATATTGCGCAGACCAAAAAGATGACTAAAATTCTTTTGGCTTCATCCCTTATTATTTTGTTTAATACTTTTTTAATTATGGAAAAGACATACAAACATTGAAGGCATTATAAAATGTTCCCTTGTTGACAATTGTCAGTTATGATTATTGACGTTGTCATAAAAAAATGCATATTCGTGTTCAAGACAATCGCCAAATAGGTAAAATTTTTGTAAACCTTCAATGTTCAGATATTGAGATATTCCTGTTTGTCATATACATTTTTTTACAATCTGTTTTTTATGTATTCAAAATTTTGACGACGTCTCGATGAAAGCGCTTGGCGAATAATAAAAATAATAAAAACGCACGTATCTTCTTTTCTTTATCTATAATGTTTGCATACTTACAAACTTTGATTAACTTTTTTATGTATTTTAGATAAACGATTTTCTTATTCCTCTTACTTTCTTTAACTATTCTAATACCTTTTTGTGTACCTACTTCAATAATGTTGTTTATCTGTGTTAAGTATTTTTTTATGTACTTTAACTTCTTTTATTATGAATTTCAGACAGTTATCATTTTCACTAGATTAGAATTATAATCTTTTTAGGTGTATTTCTTTTTTATATTTGTCTAAGTTAAAAATAACAAGATTATGATGACGATAATGTTAAAATTTGGTCAAAGAAAAAATAGTTTTGGACTATTGAGAGAATTTATGTCTTTTTAAAAATCAAAATAAAGGAATTAAAATTATATAAAAAGGTAGTTAAAACAAATAGAGTAGCTATAATTATTAAGAGTCAGGTTATTGTTTGGGAAAATGAACTTAGGTCTGAGTAGGGTCCTATTCAAAACATTTATATCATGGTATAGCAATAGTACAATATATTTAAGGACCGATTCCACCGTTGTGTTAAACGGAGATTAAAATGACACTGTTAATGTAAAAATGTCATTTTAAACTTCGTTTAACACAACGGTGGAATCGGTCCTAAGTATTTTACAAAAAGATGAATATTAGCAAGATTATTTGATTAGTTCTTTAACTTCTTACTTCACAAATGTTAATTAGTTAGATTGAAAATACCAAGTAGTTAGATGTAGAAGGGCAAGGTTGACATGATATGGTTCATAAATAAATACGTTGGTAATCTTTTAATGTATTCTATTAATTATAAAACCATCACAACATAATATAAATAATTAGCCAGACATTAATTAATGCAACTTATTTTCAAATACAAAACTGTACACAAAACAACATTTAAATACATTGTTTATATTGTTCAAATGTTTATCGAAGGTCGTAATTTGGCTCAATTTAAAAAGTTGTTAGGGTGCTCACTATTTCATTCTAAACTAAAAAGATAATAAACATATTTATTTGTATAACTAAAATAAAACATTTCCATTTAAATTCACTTGTAGCAAACAATAAAAAATTCACTATTTGTTAGACCTGTTACAACACAATAAATTAAAATAAAGTAAATCTACCTAATTTTTGAATATAATCTTCTTTTTTTAAAAAAAAAAAAAAAAAAAAAAAAAAAAAAAAAAAGTAGGTAAAAACAATTCAATAAACAACTGGAGTTCCTGTGTTGTAAATTGTAAAATTACTAGCAAAAAATACAGTGTAAATTATAAAAATGTTCAGTAGCAAAGTGAAAATTAAATCAAAGAAATAAATGGATAGCTGTACAATAAAAAATTAATTTTATTTTTGTAATAATAACAGTAATATTGGAAGTAGCAGACATCAGAAACTTGAAAGATTTTAAATATCTAATAAATTATCATACGATGTTCTTCAACATTATTTTAATCTTAAAAGTTCAGCAAGATTTCTGCCTTTGATTATTGTATGAGGTTGGAATGCAATTTTGTGACTTACTGATAGGAAACCAGTTTCAATCATTCTGTTTTCTTTCGAACAAAAATGAAGAAAATATAAATAACATGGTAATGGTATTTTTTATTTTGTCAGAATAGGTTAACACTTAAAAGACAACTTATTAGACTATGGCAACTTTTTATACATTTTCTTGTAAATATTGTTGCCTGCCTATATTATATTATTGATTTTTATTGAATATACTTTTTTTAGTTGAAGCAATAAAAATATATATTAATAATAAATTAATGTTTTAACTTGTTTTACAAATCCATATACTTTTATTAAATCTAACATATATACTTTTTAATTACGAATTCTATTAAAAATTGAATAGTCAGTATACGCAAAAATCGTCCATTAGTACATACATTAGTTGGCGCTGGTGTTACGC